AAAAAAAACTGTGGTGCGGGTTTAAAAAAATAAATCTTTCCTTTGATTCAACACATTCAGAATCGTATTCTAAACGCTTTGTGGTGCGTAAAAATCACCCCTTTTATGATCTGAGCTGCTAAAAATGAAATCAGTGAATCGTTTTTAAGCCAAAAGCACAACAAGAGCTTCTCCCATCGTCTTACCTCAAGTTTGGGTCCTTTTTCACAGCACATCATGGTGACACATCTGCGCCAAGTGTGCAACAAAAATAATAAATAAATAAATAAATCCAAGATGATTGGAAAACAATACACAAGACTATGTTTAAAATCCTTTCAGTTCCTGTGAAGAAAACGAATCGTCCATTCCTGCACCGTTCTGTGCCTGGAAAGAAAATGGACCCTCCACAAATCTCACCTCCTGCAGTTTGCGCTCCGTCTATCTGTCTGTCTGTTTCTTTCCCTCTCTCCGTTTCTCTCTCTCTCCTTTGCAGATATTCAGTGCGCATCTCCTCCCTGGATTCTGTTTTGGACCCCTCTCTCAGAGAATCGTGGGAATTTTCTCCAACTCCAAAAAAAAACAAAAAAAAACTTGCGTGCAGCTGTTGGAGCTTATCAGGCGTGAGGAGCGGCACAGTCGTTTCATTGAGGTACAGAAAAGCGCTTTTGTCATGTGATGAATGTCTTTATCTTCCATCAGAGAGGGGGAGAAATGCTGTAAGGTGTGTCCGGTGCTCGCAGGGGATTTGTGCGCAAAAAGGCTGCTGTTACGCATTTGTTTTCGGTGACATGTAAACATGTTGCAGTTTGAATCTCTTTATTCGTTTAGATTATTGTTGCTTATACACAACTTATTTGCTGATTTAAGAGCCAAATGTATGTTTACCTGATTACCTTACTTATCTGTAGATATTTTCAGATATGAATAAAATAGAACTGATGTGCAGATATTTGGAGGAGTTGAGTGACGCAGCTTCTTCCACAGACATACATCTAAACAGAGATAATTCAAGTACGTGAGGCTCCAAGGAAGGACGAAAGGGGATTTTTAAAACACGGGTTGGCCTTGGTCTGTTCCCTGAAATGAGTCATACAAGACTGAAGGGCATCTGTGTCGTTTTCTCACCCGGTTTTGTTTGTATGACATCATTCTTTTGGGTGTTTTTTTTTCTTCTTCTTCTGCAGTTCAGGGATTCATTCTGACAATGTCAAGATTAATAAAATACTCATTGTAAAAACCTGCTTTTGAGCCTGTAATCACATCTGTCGACTATTTCCTAAAAGGCCAATACCAACTCTGTTATCTCTGTTTAAGGTACCAAACATTTACATTCAGGGCCTATAAAAAGTAGTCACCTTCCTTGGAAGTTTTCCTTTTGTATTGCTTTTCAGCATTGAAATGTCCCATCCATCCATCCATTATCTATACACCGCTTAATCCTCATTAGGGTCGCGGGGGGGGCTGGAGCCCATCCCAGCCGACTTAGGGCGAAGGCAGGGGACACCCTGGACAGGTCGCCAGTCTATCACAGGGCTACACTTAGAGACAGACAACCAAGCACACTCACATTCACACCTACGGACAATTTAGAATCACCAATTAACCTCAGCATGTTTTTGGACTGTGTGGGAGGAAGCCGGAGAACCCGGAGAGAACCCACGCTGCACGGGGAGAACATGCAAACTCCACGCAGAAAGATTCCGGTGCCCCCACCAGGACGTGAACCGGCAACCTTCTTGCTGCAGGCAACAGTGCTACCAACTGCACCACCTTGCAGCCCGCATTGAAATGTGGTCAATATAATTATTTTTCTTGACAAAAAATTGCAAGAGAAACAAAAAAAGACTCATGTCAAAGTTAAAGTAGAGAATACAGACTGAAATATGAAACGTAAAATAAGTGATTGCATAAGTGTTCCCCCACTTCGAGTAATTACGCACATCTGGGCGGTGCAATTTCACCTCTGCTAAAGCTCAGTCAGGTTGCACAGAAAACTTGAGTGAACAGCTCTTTAAGTCCAGCCATAAATTCTCAGTTGGATTAAAGTCCAGGCTCTGACTTGGCCGCTTCAGAATATTCAACTTGTTGTCTTTAAACCATTTCTGTGTAGCGTTGGCTGTTTGCTTCGGCTCATTGTCTTGCTGGAAAACAACTTTTCTTCCAGGTTGCAGTTCTCTTGAAGACTGCATCAGGTTGTACTCCAGGATTTCTCTATGCTTTGCTGCATTCACTTTACCTTCTACAATTACAAGTCTTGCTGCCGGAAAGCACACTCAAATGATGATGCTGCCACCACCATGCTTTACGGTGGGGATGGTGTGTTTGTTATAATGTGTAGTGTTTGGTTTCCAGCAAACATAGTGTCTGGTCTGATACGCACAAAGTTGAATTTTGATCTCATCAGACCAAACAACCTTGTTCCAGTTGACTTCAGAGTCTCCACATGTCTTCTGGTGAACTCTAGTCCAGATTTAATATGAGCTTTTTTCAACAGTGGCTTTCTCTTTGCCACTCTCGCACAAAGCTTTGACTAGTGAAAATCATCCAAAAGTTATTTTAAATACAGTTTCTCCCATCAGCTGCTGAAGCTTGTAAGACCGTCAGAGGTGTCATAGGTGTCTTGGTGGCCTCCCGCACTCGTGTCTTTCTTGCATGGTCACTCAGTTTTTGAAGACGGCCTCATCTAGACAGATTTACATATGTGCCATATTCCTTCATGATTGATTAGGTGAGTCACTTTAAGGGGAGCAAATACTTATGTGGTCATTTATTTTATTCTTTAAAATAAATGTATATTACTTTGTTGAAGTCTGCTTTCATTTTAACCAAGAGAGTCTTTTTTTGTAAATTCTCTTGTCAAAACTGAGGTCATGGTTCAATGTTGAAAAGCGATAAAAGTGGAAAAGTTACAAATGGGGTGGATGCCTTTTTCAGGCAATGTAACAGTTCAGCGATGTTTTTTTTAAAAATAATTTTTTTTTTAGAACTTATTAGATGCATTAAGGGTGTATTACTCCAATAAAAGTTCACTTTTTTATAAGGAGTGGGTTGATAAACATTCTGGTGCAGAACATTTTTAGAAAATCAAGCAGGTCTGACTTAAAAACCTCTTTTGCAAGAGAACAGGATAGAAAAAAAAGTTTTTAAAAAGCACAGTTCTGCCACAAAAAATGAATACTCTCCTTATATCCTTAGTCTTCTTTATGTGACATACCACATAGGGAGAATTTAGACAGAAAAACAATCGCTCGTTGGTGAAGCTGCAAGCTATAAGACGGTGTTGCTTCGTTTTAAAGCCAATGAAACCTGATGAATGTCTAATCTTTCCATTAAAATCATGGATCAAAAGAAGCTATTTTTCCATGAACACGATCGTGGAATAAAGATTTGAGCGTATCCACTGCACACATCTCTTCAGGTTTCATTTAAGCTTCTGTTCCTCTGTGTCCCAGAACATGAGCAGCTCTTTGGAGAGGGTTGTGGCCCAGAAGAAGGAGGCCATTGAGGCAGTGATGGACATGTTTGAGAGGGGGGCCGAGGTGTTGGCCAGCGCTGTGGGTGAGCTGTTTCCGCTGTGCGAGGCCGCCGCTCCGGTGCTGCGACTGGCCTTAGACAACGTCCAGAGCAAAGAGGTCTTCTACGTCAAGGAGCAGTTCCTGACGGTGAGTAACAAACTGGATGTGCTCTCCAGCCAACTGGACGACATCAACTGTGAGATCAAGAAGGGCAGGCTGGACTCCCAGTACTTCTCTGTGGAGGAGAACATCAGGAACCAGTTTAGGAAGTACATGGACATCCTGGAGGCAAAACCGCAGTTCAAGGAGGTGAAAACTAGGCTTTTTTTGGAGCACTTTGCAAAAACCGGAGGGGAGAAGAACCTGTTTGTGCTGTACGATGCTCTAATGGGAACTAACAGCTTTGGAGAGTCGATTTTAGAGCTGGTAGAAAGGTAAGTTATTATATTTCAACTAGGGATGTCCTGATTTGTCAGAATCAGGGCCAGTCAATGCATTTTTTGACTGATCAGAATTGGCACACACCGATGTTAGGGATGCAAATTATAAGACAGTTTTCTAAATCAATATTCACCGGTGTTGTCACTCAAATTATTTATTAATTGATTAACCACAAACTGAGCACAGTGGACATTTGTCCTGCGTTGACATTGCCGTTTTGTCATGATCTGGGCTACAAAGTCAGCTGAGTTTGATATGTCTCTGGTGTAAAGGTATGCTGTTGATCCCAATTTGTCCTAAACCCAGTCTTCACAAAATTATTATACTAACTAAACTGCATTCTGAAATATGTTTGGGAAATTATTTTCAGCTGGATTAAATTTGTAACGTATCACAAATGCTTCTAATTAATCTTAATTATCACTTATCTTTTCATTTATTTTACTGATTTACTGTCACTGCTCCTCAGCCGACCCATTCAATGTGGTGGGTTTCTGGAACCCAGAAAATGACTGAGAAACTTCAAACACGTAGTGGAAGGATTGTATTTTAACCCAAACCAAGACATTTTTCTAAACCCAAACCACATAGTTTTGGTGATTAAACCTTACCAGAAAGCAACTGAAAATATCAAGTAAACAAAGACAGAAAATAAAACGTCTTTTGTCCATCACTCGATGCAAACTCTGGTGTTTTGCATGTAAGTCCGATGTGAACTTTGTTTCTGTTTTAAACTCGCACCTTTCATGCAACATCACAGGTGACAAATTGCACTTATTTCAAAGCAAAAGTACATTCCATTAAAAATAAAGCTCTGGCTTGTGGTCATTAATTGTCACAGATATCTTTGTCACAGTGGCCAACAGCTAGCTAAATGCTGGAGCCATTCCTGACCACCTACAGAACATTAAGGAACTGCTTGGACACAGAAATGAATTTTTTGTGCATTGGAGTGCTTTTCAGTTGTTGAGCAGGATAGGCAGATTTTTAAACTTTAACGTGCTTGTAGTATGTATTATATAGGAAAACCGTATCGGATTGGGACTCGATACCAGCAGACACTAAATTTATAATTGGTGCAGGTTGGGAAAAAAAACTAACAGCTTGATCCGGACTATGGCATGCAAGCAAAGCAGTGATGGGACTGTTTGCTTCAACACTTTTATGAACTTAAATGTATCCCGCTCCACACAAGTGGTTCACTGCTTAGCACAACATCCAAAAATCCTTCGCTCACACTCCTGTGCCCTGTTCAGGACATCCCTAATTTCAATATATTTCTGTTTTCATTGCAGCTGCCTCTCTGCTTCTTTGGGCCACCAGATAAAAACATAACTGAGTCCTCTATTTTGCAGGTATGTGGCAAGGAACCGCCGCCTCCTGGAAGATTTCTGTGTCCGGATGAAGGAGCTTTTCTGCTTGGGTCTGATTGCTCTGCTGGGCCACTGCGCTTTAACCCAGGGTCAAGAGGAGGAACAGGACAAAATCCAAGAGTGGAGCAGCAAAATTGAAGAGGTAGAATCCAGGATGAAGACCACCATCGAGTCCTGTGTTACTGCCTTCCCAGAACAAGCGAAATTAGACGCCCAGCGCCTCCTGCAAGAGAAAGAGGGAGACACCCTGCAGGAAACAACTCAGCAGCTTTTGGAGTTCTTGGTGAAAAAGTTCGACTGGGTGCGCTGGTCCGTGCGGCTTATCAACCACTCTGGCAGCACCTACCGCAACTGGCGAGCAGGGGAACATTTCCATCACGTGGCGGGACAGAATTGGTTCGAGGTGCTGCAGGTGAACAACATCAACCTGGTGGTGTCGTACAGCACCAAACCACAGCCAGTGCCCCACGACTGCATCCGGCAGGCGATGGAGGGCCAGGGCAAGAAGGGAAACGCCCCAGCTGTAGTGGAGGTGCTGGAGAAGCAGCTGTGCGGGTTTGTGGTTCACGCAGTCAGTCGCCACAAGGAGTCTGCAGCTGCCTGGAGCTTTCCGGACGACTGCCACTACTGGGAGAGGCATAAAAATGTGGCTGTTTGTGTGCACTCAGAGTGACACATGCTCCTGATTTTGGGGTTTTGCACTTGAAAGGTGCGTTGAAGCGGAGATGCTCTCGATTTATGTGTCTGCGTATAACTTAATACTGAAAATACTGAATGTCCTAAACATGGGATGCTCTGATCTGATTTTCTGCTTTGATTAGAGGTCTGTAGCATGATGCAAGATTGAAGGTTAGTGAGGTACCTTCAGGTTGAACTGGGTTTTCAGAACTGCAATGGTTTGCTTCTTAGCTCGGCATAAACTTACACTGCAAACCCAACTGGAAACTAATGCTAGCTGTACAACATGAATGTTTTTTGATAGTTTCAACAATTCTTTTTTTTGCACAATTTGATGTTATTTTACAGATCCTTGTTCAATTACAGATAATAACTAGTGAAATCACTAAAAAAAAGTGTTAATCTACATGTCAATTGTAAAAAAAAAAAAAAAAAGACCAAAAGTTTCCTCACTGCCTGTAATTTTAATGTTGCACAAATCACACCATCGCTGCTGATAAATGCAAGATTGAATGTGAGATAAGCTTATATGACTCATAACTCTGGCTGTAAAGACAGTTTAGAGAAGCAAAAAGTGCAGTATTTTCAACTGAAACATGAATTATACAGACGAAAGTACTTGATAAAACATAATAAATGTGCCCTGGTACTTTGCATTGCTGTGTTTCGTTTTGTTTTCAAGAAGGACTTCAACCGGATCCATCAGCATCGGAACAGAAATGATCAGATCAGGGCATCCTTTAAGAGATTTATTATCTGTCAGCTCTTTATATAGTACATACTTGAAATACAGAGTTGTAGCCGTTTAAATACTAACCACTAAATATCTATTTAAAATTTCTGGCGCACTAACAGTTTATTTAGGATGGTTTCACCTCAGCTGCATACAGTGATAATCCAGCCTCCCTTAAGAAGCGTTTTCTGCACCTCCTGCCCTAAAGAGAAGGTTTCTGCTGAGGCTGCATCCACGGCGCTCTGCCCCCATTTTGTCTCTGCTCAGCAGGCTGGCCTACATAACTCTGACAGGGAGCCGAGAGGTGACTTTTTCAGGCGTGAAAAACAAGAGGCTTGGAGTTTGGCACCGGAGACGCGACAATGTGCCTTGTGTTCTAAACACAGTCCTCAATGCTGAACCGAAAACTGGCGTTGACCAGTCTGTGCCTGCAATTATGTAAGGATCTGTGTTCACTGCTGCAAGCCTGAATGAATTTTATTTGCACTGTTTTGGTGGTAAATTATCATTTTTGTATTTTGCACTTCTTAAACCGGATTCGTCTGTTATGATATCCTGGTTCACATCAAGTATTTTTCCTTATTTCAAACAAACTGTTGTTTTGACCAGAATTTAAATCGTATCAAACATTTCAGGTACCTATCAAGTTAAACATGTTATTTGTATATATTTTCAGGAGTGTCCGACGTCCATTTAAATCTTGAGCGTCAAACGAGTTCACACAATACCGATTAAAGAGCCCATGTTCTGGTTTTTAGAGTTCCTTCCGTTTCCCATCAGTGTGTTATTTATGTAACGACATTTTTATGTTAAAAGTCTGCTAATTTACAAAGTCCAAACCAAAGGGAGTTATTCTCCTCCACAGAAAACCTCGTTCTGTACCTGCCTGAAGCATCTTATTTTAACTCCAGGCTTGTCTTCTATTTCTTATCTATGTCATCATGGAAAACCAATGAAGCATTCTAGGAAAGATTCTGGCACTGCAGATAAAAAAGAAACTCAACACTGCAGGTGTAAACCTCTAATATATACCTGACTAATTGTATAAAGTAGTAAAAGTGGCATTTATGCACATTGAAATGTATCATTCAGTTTTTTGAATCACATCAGTGTCAATGTTCACACCAAAGAATCTCAATAAAATCTGTGCATGATCAATGGTCAGCATGACTGTTATTCTTTATGACAATTAATGACCAAATACAAACAGCAAATGGATGTGTAAACACGTGTAATCTAATATCTGCCTCTCTTTTCTTGTCCAAAAGTGATTTACGCAGCGCTGTTAGGGCCTGTGGCAGTGCAACCTCAGCACACCGGCTAATTTAATTGATATTTACACATAAGTCAGCATTTCCTGACCGCAGCACTCATCTGATAGTCTATGAATAACCTTTGGCTGAGCTAATATCCTGCAGACGAGCAGCAAAGTGCTGGGCTTAGCAGGATCGGTCATAACGCGAGCGCTGCAGAGCGGCAGAGACGCTCATCATTTCATATTTGAGTGGATCTGCAGGGTCTTTAGCTGCTCTGCTGTAAATCAAACCTGTCAGAGTCCATAAGGCTTCATCAGCAACACACAGTCCAGTGCAGGAGGGACAAACCCGGCTGGCAGGGAATGTTCCCACAACATCGGCAAACATGAACTACAGGTTTGAACAATGCATTGAAGAAAACGTCTGAATCAAAGGATCAAAGAGTGTTTTAAGAATATCTTCACTTCCAATAATGTTCTTGTCAACTTATAGTGTTCTAACCTTAACACTCACAAGAAGTCAGGAACACAGGTTATGTTCCATAACAACAAAGGAGGAAAGTTTTCAAAATGTTTTTCAAATGTCCCTGTAATGTGACATATTAAGAAAAGTGGAGCATTTTACCTGCAATGTTTAGAGGATGTTGTTGAAGAACACATTATGAATGATTCTTCTATAAAACACAATGGTAATGTTCTGTTACAATGAAAAAAGAACGTTCTCAACAACATTAAAAAAATGTTTTCCAGAAGTTGTCCAGGCCTCAAAACATTTCGATGATGTGAAGCGAAATATTTTAGCTGCAATATTTAAAGGATGTTTTGGGCATGTTGTTGAGGGAACATACTTCTATGAAACATTCTCTCAATGTTCTATTACCGCAAACGAAAAACATTCTCAAACCAACCTTCAAAAAATGTTTTTCTGATGCTATCAAAGCCTCAGAGGATTTTTATAAAATGTTCCTGTAATTTGAGCTGTTTAAAAAAAAAAAAGATAGAAAAAAAGTAGAATATTCTGACTGCAATGTTCTGGGGATGTTGTTGAGGGAACACATTATAGAACCTATAAAATGTTTCCACAATGATAAGGTTCTCAACGCAACATTTTGAAAGCATTTTCAAGATGTCATTAAGGCCTCAGCTGACAAAATGCTCTTGATGAAAATGTTCCAGTACTGTCATATATTAACAAAGATAGAACATTCTTGCTGCAATGTTCTGAGAATATTTTGCAGATGTTGTTGAGGGAACACATAAAATGTTCTTCTAGAAAACATTATCACAACGTTTCATGATTACAGTGGAAGGATGTTCCCAGTGCAACATTCAGCCATCACCGAACATTTTCAGAACATCCTTTGTTGTCCCACCTTAAAGAAGAATATTCTGAGAAATAAAAGAAAACATTTTGCTGACACATTAGTAAAACTCTGCAGAGCTTTCATAGAACATTTTTGCAATAAAGAAGTTGTCGCCCTCCTTCACTGTTACAAAAACAAAAGCTCTGTCTTTTAAAATGCTGCAAGAACTCCTCATTCAATATGGATGTGACGGTTCTAAAAATAGCCTCAAACCAAACAAAGTCTTTACACTCGTCATCATTGTTTCATCACAAAAACACAACAATGGAAAATAACACTCCACGCTGCACCTGCTGCCTCATAGGCACAAATCTTCTTATTATTAGAAATTGCAGACGGGTGACTAACATGCTTTACCTCCTCTGAAGTATCTGCGCTTTAATCCTGCACTGAAAAGACAGAAAACATGAAGCAGACAGACGGATGGGTGTGCCAGACTGGAGATCAAACACACAACAGAACCAGTCTCACAATCAACACAATGACACGAACCACACTGCTGCTTCACCTGCTGTCTACCTCTGACGACACATCTGCAGTTATGCTTGATGTAAATAAACCTCACCATCACTTTTTTTTTTTTTTTAACCCAGAGAGGCGGATGTTCAATTTAACATCATGACCAGGAGCATTCAGTGCTCGAAGCTGCCTCCACTGTGAGCCAGAGGATTCATTAGTGGTTGTGTGGGCTTTGCCTAGGTAACAACTATTGATCCAAGAGGCTCTTCTCCTGCATGAAAGGCTCTGGCTGCGGTAACCCGTCAATCCTGACTGTCATTAGGGAAGCATCTGTTTACTGACAAGGAGCTGCTGCATCAAGCTGCAGGAGTCAGACTTGCACTGGTTTTGTGGTTGAAAGAGAGTTAAAGTTGAAGGTTTTCAGGGTGAAGGAGTGACATCTGGTGAGGAAAATGGTACCAGAGGAGGTCTGCAGACAGAGGGCACTATCAACATACAGAAATACTAGAAACTCACAGTCAGTCAGTCTGCTGCTGATGCATTTTTAGGCATTTTGTCAAGGGGAGATTTAAAAACACAAAAAACAGGCTGTATTTTAAAAACCATATCAAGTATTTTATTGTTAAAAAACTCACTTTGAAGCATCTACACTCACAAGCAGTTGTTGTACGCTCGAAAAAAGTCGCTTCAGTTGGACTTCCTTCAGTAGTTTATGCCTCAACTTGAACTTAGGTTTAAATCACAGAAGTTTTAATTCGAATTACACACAATATCAAGTTGATGCAAAATCCCTGTCAACTAAAATGATCAAAGTAATGTTTGCAATGTCAAAGGTTGATCTGAATCAGTAAATTAGTTTTGTTTGTCTTTTTTAATCTTACATCCCTTGAATTACTCTCTAGAGTGCATATGGAGGCTACTGGAGATTGATTTTTAACATTTACCGGAAAATTTATAGGAAGCAGTTACAGATGTTTCCGTTTCTCTGCTGGGACGCAGTAAAGGGAGTTTTATTTTAACAGAGGAAAGATGACATTAAAAGGAAAAATCCATTCTGGTGCAATTCTGGAAATGATCCCAAGAAAAAGAGTCAGTTCACAATCCCTCCCCAACAAAGACCCTCCCCTGCATCTCCCTCCTTTCCATCCCGCTGAATCTCCTTAGATAGCAGCCAATATCAATATTTCATAAACAAATGAAAGAGTGGATGGAGGCGAGCATCAGAGTGGCCCTGGAGGGGGGAGGCGATCAATGGGAGGATATCTCTGTTCGCCAATCCTGGCCTGTGCACCATAATGCTATTACCCATCAGTCCGAATGGACCATCGACCAGCCTGCTGCTCTGTGAGTGGACTAATCCGATAAAAAGCACTAAAACATTTGTTCAGTGACACACTAGCTGCAGGTTCAAGCCCAGAACTGACTACTAAGCAGACTGGGCTTTTCAGGAGTTAGGATTTAAAGCTGATCAGTTCCAGGTGAACC